TAATCTTTCAAAATAGGACATCTTATAAACAGAGGACTGAAATGATCGTAGGGCATACCGATCACCATCGCTGTGTGCATCATGCCCTCTGTCACCCCAGTTACTTATCGTTTTCAGTCCTATCTCGTTCGATTCTCCTCTAACACCATTCATCAGATGGTCTAATTGTTTTCCACCCTAATTCGCCTCATCGGTTAGGATGTGGTCCATACGATTGTACAACATCCGAAGTTAGCGGACCGACTGAAGATCAAACTGAGCGAGATCACCTCGGACTGGGATGAACTTCGGCGTCGAATACGTGATCATATTGCATGTATGGTTCAAATGCATCGAGGTAGGTCTTCTCCAGCTCAGATCACGGTTACTTTTTGATCAATGAATGACCTCATCTATAAGCTACCACAGTTAAATCCCCTACTACTTTTATTGGTTCAGTAGCCAAGTCCGTTTGGCTTTTCAACAGGTACATTTTTTATCTTGGGTTCCCACGAAAAGGTCACACATCGTATGGGTCAATAGCTTAGTGGTAACGCGTGTGGAGCGCGATCATGCACCTCAGGTTCGAGTATCAGTTGGAGCTTGGTGTGTATAAACTGCTCCTGTGCTCTTCAAATGTGGGTTGGGCTTTATTATTACATGTTAAATAATTTCATAATCAGTTTAAATTTTCAGTAAACATTGAAGCAGTGAAGCCTTGGATAAATCTTTCTAGTCTAAGACTACCGCAAATGGATTTCCTGAATGCTTATGAGCATTGCCTCTAACACATTTATTGCGTGTGGTTGAATACTTTTCTGATCCAAGCCTCACCATTTATTTTTAGATTTAATTTCCCAGAAAGTAGGGGTAATCAAAATAAGATAAGGATGTCTTCGGTGAGCCCCTTAGGGAGAACTTCGGACCTAGTACAGAAATAATTCACTGCTTTGGAACTATTCGAGTACTAGCTTGCTACACTCTGGTAACACTGCTGTAAATATCAGGTAGAGATGAGCGATCGTTTACCCAGAAAATTGTTGTAAACCATCCACTAAGCCGTTATAAACCCTGGTAGTATCATGGTCGGTCTTTGAACCCGGTATCCACTTTGCATCGCCTATGGCATCATCTGTTTGTGGAAAACCAAAAAGGATCACCACACAGCGTTTAAAATTATCCTGATGATTAGCAGCGTGGCATTTCGGGTGAAAATGAGAAAAACATTATTCCGAAATCATTCACACGTGAGTCCGGTTTACTCACTTTCTTGACAGGCTGGTTTGATTATTCAGGGCCTAACATGGTTGATTGGTTTCCGTCCCACTTCATGGACTGCTCATGCATGATCAGTCGAGCGCCCGAGTGGAGCCAGCATCATGCGTTGCAGAGGCGTATTGGTTAGACACTGTTGTGCTTGTTTGGCTTTCGGTGATGAGCTGAGTGTTTGATGAATAATTTCCTCAACAAACCAAACCTCATGCTACTGCCCCTGCTGATACTTGTTCGGATAGAATGTAACTTGAGAATGAACAGTGTAGGAAAACCAGCAGCAGTACTTTCCGGTTGTGAATAATTATCCTATCATTTTGATCATTACTCACCTTGTGAGGAAGGTTTGCATAATCCATGCGGACCAATGAGTCACCAGTCACGGCGTATTAAGCGTTTCTATCATACTAGCAATGATTATAACAATAAGGTTAATTTCTACCTTAAATCACGACTAAATGAAAGGAAATTCGACTATGATGTGTGTATATTTTAGAAACAAGCATGTCTGGTTCAAAAAGTTTACTCTAATGAGGATTTTTAGATGGTTTAAAGTGACGAAACATTCTGTCAGAGTTCACTGCTCCACCTTTCAAACACCACTTAACTGGAATCCGTCAGAAATGACCGAGTGGCGTATACTGTGTATTACATTATTTCAGTTCTAAACGAAATCAAAAACTTTTGAGGCCAACGGATATCCGAAATCACTTATGTCGTAACACTCACAGCCACCTCCCAAAACTGACGACCATCCTACGGTTACCTTACAAATGGTGATGACCTAAATAGCCTACTCTGCAGATGCTTCAGTTGTGCCAATAATCGTACGCATTATGCCACAAAGATCATTATTCCCTATTCAACCTCCCGGATGAAAGTACCATCGGTAAAAGATCCTCTGCCTATCCACGCCAAGTTCAATTGCAATTGCCAGTTTAAGTGTGGGTGTTTAGCCACTTACATTTGCACTGCGTAGAGACAACTGCGTAATAGAATGGTTGAACTTATTCCGTTTGGCTACAAAGAACAATGAGCAGACAGTCGCTGTCAATGACGTCATCGAACGCACGCAGAACACTCGGGTCATCCATTACGGAATACATGTCAATCTGAGCACAGCGTTCACTGTCATTTATGTCACAGACAAACAACGACTAATGAGATGTACAGAGGCCCTTAAAATTAACCATCATCACCCCCAACTGTGCATACAGTGGGGATGGACAATTACGTTGGCTTTGCCTCGCTAACGTTTGTTTTAGTTGCTATCATTTGTTGTGTGTGTCTGTGCACCTTTGTCTTTGGTGTCATGAGAAAGTTCAATTTCCCATTTGTAAATGATCATTTTGACTGCAGTATGCACTAGTGAAGATGCAGTGAAATGGTCCGGAATACATCGTGCCATCGAATACTATGGGCTTCTGTGTACGGAATGCAAAAGTATAAAATAGAATGTACTTATCTGGTATGGTAGTAAGCCCCGTCAGTGGTGTGCGTCAACAGGGCAGTAACTAGGACCAGAAAAATGACAACACACAGAGCCATATTTAGGCCATCAGACAGGTGGTGGTGGTGGTTGAGTAGTGCATGCACCCATCACGTCACAGTTACGAGGTTCGAATATTGCCACTGCAGATTACGCTGATGGAGAACAGTCACCAGTCTTTCTGTCGCTCCTAGCTTGCTGTTACTGCTAGGTCCGGGTTAACCAGCCACATGAATACAAACTCACTCGCACACGCGTACATTCATCCACCCACCATGGGACGACTGTCCAATGTTTCTCAGACAGACACACACACGCGCGCGCGCACACACACACACACACACACCTATCAATAAAAGCACACAACGTTGATGTCAGTCCGGCATGAGCGCGAGCTGTAATAACCAATCAGATCTCGCTGTGAACCGATCGCCTGAGCCCAGTGTACGCGTGGATTGCGCTTTGGCACGCACGTAGCTCTGACTGTCCACCTCGACAGCGTGCTACTTGCTCAATAGTGGCCACGTGGATTTGTGACCCTGAATCATATGGTCACAGCTGTCAGCTGTTTTGAAAGCCTAGTAATGATTTTAGCCAGTGAGTAGGAAATGCCTTATGCACTTCATTCATGCGAAACTATTTGGATTAAAAAGGCCATTCTAACTGATTTACGTCAAATTTACGTCAACGAATGAGATTCGTTCTACAGTTCTGACTGAGAGCAAAGTGGCTGGTACTTAGCGTGATTCCTGCCGTAATAGGTAGTGGTCAAAAATTGGAATCAGATTTCAAATATGTCCTGTTTATTGCAAAATCATATCCGAAATGAATAACAACAATTAAACAACAAAACTTCTTTAATATCACGTAGGACTACATCAAAGTGGTCATCATCTCTTTCAAAGGCATGAGGTGTGATTCCGATGATTTTCTTCGGGAGGCCGAGCGTACTTACGTGTCCCATCGATACCACAGATGACTGAGGTAGGCAAACGTCAAGCGTGTCTTCATTATGCGCGAGGACACGTTGTGTCTAAATTCTGGCCGAAGTGTAGCTGCCTCGATAATAATATATGGCTACCCGGTTATTTATATCAGACACTGTAAGATTTTGGTGTAGGAATGACTCAATCATGCAATAGTATCTAACACTTTGAAGGTAAAAACGCATCCCAAACCTTGCTACGCTCTTTGGAAAGCTCAAAACTTATCTGGATCTTCACTTAGACGAACAATGTCTTCTGTATACTGAAGGTCCGACACCTACTTCGATTCGGACCCTATTACGCTGTTGTCCAGTTATTCTGTGGAATGCGTTATTCGTCAAAACAACGGTAGCACCATCATCACAAATGAGATATAATCTCTTAACAGGAAAAATTAAATATTACCTCTCCCCATAATTTTTACCTAATCAGGGATTCCTTTAGGTGCAATGAGTTCTATTTTTTCTGTACATCCTCCTCCTTCGATGGGACTTACTCTGACACCAAATCTGTCCTAATTATTCAACCGTGCTAGTCAGCAGACACGCCCAAACAACAATTTTATATACACTAGAACTTAAAACTAATAAATTTGTCATTCCTCAGTGAGTGACCGCACAAAGGCGCATTTTAGTTCTCTATGGTAAGATCTTACCCTAGTACTGATTGATGAATCCAATAAGTAAACCTCGTAAAAGCAGCTTGCTTTAAAATGCAACCGATCATGTTAAACTGTCTAGTTTTTCTACATCAGTCCCTTTCTTGTTATTTTCCAAATCTCAAAAATTTGATCATTTTCAGTTAGGTTCTGTGAAGCTTTCATTTAATGCAGTACATACCGAAGGAATCTACATCAAACGAACTGTGATTTAGGATTTGTTGGAGCTCGGTTTTCTTGACAAAATTCCTATCTAAGAGAGTTTTTGATGACCTTTTCTGCTCGTTCACAAGACAAATCCATTCGATAGCGATCAATTTGCGAGCTGTTTCCGTACTTTATCCAAGGGGGCAACATGTTTGAACCGCAGTGATTTAATCGATTTTTTTCTTGTTACTTTTTTTTACTTGTCCACAACGCATTCTTTGGATACAGCAATCATTTTTCAAGACGGCTGTTTACGATTAGACTTGTGGCTCAAAACATTTGCGGAGAAACTCAGCTTGGTGGAAGAGATGAACTTGGCAGATACAATCGAACTAAGTTGTACTCCCACCGTAACTGGACTGACCGTGACAGAACCAGACGGGACTGATCTTCTCACACCATGCGACAGTTTGCATTGTGTGAATGTACGACTGCAAACAGTGAATATCCAGTTAGAGGAGAGCAAAACCAAAGAGAAACTTTTAGACGAGTTGAAGGTATGTGTTTTTTATCCGACATGTTTATGCAGGGATTTTAATATTACGTTGACTCGTTTACTCACTACAGGTAAAATAATAAAGGATTCTAGTTTAACTTTTGAGGTTATTTTCCAAATTTTAACATTCTATCACGAAGTGTAAAATTCCCCATAAAATGAAATCTTGGACATTACTGTGATAGATGTGTGTTGGGAGCCTCCGTAAGGTTGGTCATATGATGTTTCCTTGAATTTTAGACTCGCGTTATGTACATTAGCGCGATTGGATTGTTGGAATTTTGAATGAATGTCAGACCATCGGCTGTCTGAGTAACACATCGATCGATCAGCTTTTAAATAAGGCAAACACATGGAGAGATAACCACTGTTGTCACAATAATATACGTGTATCAAGAGAGCACTGACACATTGCTTTTAAATGATTTTTGTTTGAGCCCCAGTGGATGTTCCATTGAGTTCAGTTTTCAGTGATCTTCATTTAGATCACAGAGTAGTAAGTCTAACGAGAAGCTATTTTTGCTGCAGTGAAATTTTTCTGAAATCGTGAGAAACATATATATGCGACTGAGGAGAGATGTAATCAGTATTTGTTTTTTTTTGGACATCACCGAGCAGGGTAAGTGGATTTCAGTTGTTGTCCAGATGGGGCCATAATCACCCAATGATGTCTTGAGCTAGTGCGTATTTCTTCCATTTCCCAGGGCCTACTGATCGTCCATCATTTAACTGATTGTAGACTAGAACAGAGAAGACAGAATCTTAGCCATGCACGACTGATGTCCAGGACAATTTCGCTGCATCTCTATGCAGCGCGTACTGCAGATAGAAATTGGCTTAATAGTTTATTTAAGGGCGATGAACGAATTGCTATCACTCAGGTCACGCCATGGTAAACATGAAACCACATAATATTCCAAATATCTACACAGGGTTGGCAACTACTGCTTGATTGATATCGCCTCGATAAACCATAGTGGTTTGTTACTATTCGTCTGGTGAAGAATGCGAACCATTTTCTCCTTGTCAACTCGACGTTGCACCGTCAGTAATTGTTGAGATGAGTTGATGATTACGATCGTCTGCTACCTTAGCGACCAATGCTATCTGATATCGTTGGGTCAGTTGCACATTCATTCCAATAGGTGATTTGTTCCAAAGACCGATTAAGTAACTACTTTTCCGTTCGGCGCACGTAAGGGCCTATGCGCCTAAATGGGAATCAGTAAACCATGTGGGAGGGGGTTTACAGAGATCGGTACATGGATCAGTACGTTGTTTGTTCGATAAATGATTTTCGAGCGAGTGACTTATTAGGCTCGGGCAAGTGTGACTCGCCAGCATTGTTCGAACAAGTGAATATCATAATCGCCTTCGAATGGAGTACCTTTGGTGACCTCCATTCGTGGTACTGATGGGACTTCTGGTCTTGTGCACTTTCTAGTATTGCCTGTAAGTTGATACCTATTTTATTCTCTGGTCTCTTTTCAGCGTGCGCATATATATATATATATATATATATATATATATATATATATATATATATATATATGTGTGTGTGTGTGTGTGTGTGTGTGTGTGTGTGTGTGTAACCGTACTATCCAAAGGATGAAGTTACCGAAAACGTGTTTGTTCGCTATCGTGTCTCTTTCTCTGATATCTTGCTAACCATGATTAACGGAAACTTCGCTGCTGAGAAAATCGTACCTTGCATCATAGGACTGCAGCGTAATGAAACAACAAGCTCTAGGTTTGCTGAAAATGGTGTGTTAAACAGCACGTGGATGTCAAATCTTACCCTGCATTATCACTAACGAGCCCAGCGGAACCAGTTTATCCTGTTACTTACCAAAGGAGCTCAGTGAACAACTACGAAGTTAATTCGGTAAAAGTGGTTCGGAGACGTGAAGTGGAGAATCTAATGGGGACCCAGTGAAAAAAAATTAGTAATGATCCGGGATACAATGAACTACTGTTAAACCTACTCTGGATTAAAGCTATACCTTTTGAACTAAACCACTTGGGATGACTAAATTTGACATTCTGAGGTGGTAATCCAGTACCATGTAGAAGATGCACATGAATAGGGTTAGCATAGGATGTTTGGAATCAGAGACCAGTCGCTGGACATGTAGTATACATGCCCACCAATAGACATTTTGGCGTACTCTGCTCGCCGAGACAGATAGTCGTTGGAAGGTAGGTCGATGTTGTCAGTACATGACATGGCACAGGGTGTAAAAATCTCGACCAGCGAACCTTGGTCAACTAAGACGCGTAAGACTTACCGATTGGGATTCATGAGATCCACCTACCAGATAAGCGAAGAAATTAAATGATGTGCCCAGGTGTTGCGGCTTGTAGTGTGGTTCCGTTCGGGCCCTTTCTTCGTCTTCGAGGTTGCCGCGTATTATTCTTGTGTTGGCGTGCGCACGGTACTCAGAGAATAAGTGAGTAGTTGATTTCTCAAATCAAGTATGGACCACGGAGTGACACAAAAGTGATTACAGTCACAAATTTGAAAAGAGAAGGTTTGAACAATGTATCTTGGGCCATTTAGCCGCATCTGTACATAACTACGTCAATCATCTAGTTAGTAATCGCTTGAAGTCAGTCATCAAACGCTGTTATTGTGCGGCCGATCCAGGTATTAGTTTCACAACCACACGGATAACAACACCGTTGGTGAGAGAACCGCTGCCTCTCTGATCCAAGTCAAATTACGTCTATCAATTCACAAGTGGATGCTCATCCGCCCACATGGGCAGAACAGAGAGACCCTTGCGTCACCGGATAAATGAGCATATTCTTAAGTGGCTTCAAATATCGATGACTAGTCATTTCACAATGATGGCATCATCAACGAAGCCAAAAGCAATCAGATCATCAATTACGCAACATCTGACTGGGCAAAAACACTGTAAATCCGAGCAACTCGTTTAGGATTATATAAAACACCATGAATTCGAGATTGATCAGATATGCTGAGGACCTAGCCATTCTCAATCATAAACCCAAACTGTCCAAACAGCTTGAATGGCTACCCTGGTGACCTGACATTTAATACCATCTCCTCTCCAGTCTTGTTCACTCCTACAATATTTCATCCACTTCAGTCTTATCTCAGTTTCATTGGCTATCCTTCTGATAACATATAAAAAATCACATTGACTGTAGTATGCACGCGTACAGATGCAGCGAAATGGTTCAGGATACATTGTGCAAACCTATGTTGCTCATTTCTCTTCTCAAACGTGATTAACTCACGTTGAGTTGACTAAATGAGGTGAAAAAGACACACAGAACAAGTGGTTGCATCACGCAAAAGAAGAAGACCAACTTAAGATGGTCTGGATTGCTGTGATACAAAGGAGCCTTTTCGTCATATTTGATTGATGTTATTGTTGTTCAAATGTCTAGTGTGCACAGCTTTTCTTCCGTGTTGTTCTCCTTTACTTTCCGCATTCGGCTTTCATTCGTTTTGCTCTCGACTTGCAAATGTCACCAGGTGGCAACCAAAACTAGAAGACAGAAGTGTGTGGTTGAGGGTTAAAAGATGAAACCTGAATAAACACAGATTGTGAACATGCTCGATTTATCTAGAATGATGCACCTCAGGCGGCTTGAAGTGGTAATAAACTCACTGCTTGTCGAAAGGCGTAAACGACCAGCCGGTTACGAAACACAGTGGTCTAATGTTAAGCACAGGTACACAGGTAATCAAATTCGTTTCACTGATACCACTTCGTCAAGTGTTTGCTCTATAATACGGAAATGTGAAGGCAATCGAAATTTTATTTTTATTTATGATAAAATACTACGGTGCTTTTAAAACTGTTGTATACAACGCGATTTGCTAAACCTTCGTGCCCAGGATCCGTCCAATCAAACGTAGTCAGACCATGGTAGTCAGAACATTCTGATACAATCAGATCACTTCATGATTGGTCACGATGCTATCTGCCAACAATGTTGCGTCACGCGTCATATACGGATGAACGTGTAGCAAATGAAGTCAATCGAATACCTACTTGCCGTTCTTGTCTTCTCAATTGTGGGTGTGCATTGTTCCGGGTACGAGTTATTTCAGTTCATGGGAGTTGACTGAAAAGATTCAAGTCTCGAAAACACTCAGAGATGGAGAACATTTTCGGTAGGAAATGCTCATTGTGCATAGTATGATTCATCGTGCTGGAAAAGGCTGATATATCATTAAGTAGAAGCCCGACGAGGTCCAGTCTCAACAGACCGGTTTGTATGGTACATCTAGTTCTGCACTATCAACCACTTTATCCTGTGAAAGGACACTCTAGCAAACATACAGGGGGAAAACAATCTAACGGTCAAAACATCCACTAAAGTAATGTGGGAAATGAGTATCCAGGTTTTCTCTGAACATGACAGTTGCCAGCCCAAGGGATACACTATACTGCTCGCGTTCCAACTGTTCCTTTGGATATATGAGGCAAAAGATTTTATTTAAAAGCCGAGCGACAATTCAAGGATAGGAGAGCACAGAACACGTTAGAAACCACCAGTTCGCTCACGCAAGACCAGTAGAAGCTTCTGCACGGGTACTTTGGTTTCCCTTCTTAGGCTTTGTGGGTTACACAGTATAGTCTTAATCTCCTGTTGGGGTTCTAAAAGAAGAACCCATCATTTATAATTATCATTTCACCGCCGTTTCAGCTCCTGAGCTAAAGGCACTGATTATGCCTCCCGTTCTGGAGTATGGGTAGCTGCTAAATTCTGACCTGAGGTTGGTGCATGAAGGGTGGAGTCCAAAGTACAGTCAGCCAAACAAAGATTCATCCATCCCACAAGCCACTCCCAAGTAATTGGGTGGTTATATATATATATATATATATATATATATATATATATATATATATATATATATATATATATATATATATCAGAACAATTGCGAAACAGGTTTAAAATGGGGGTACGTTGGCCCATCCTGTGGAGAAGACCTGATTGGTGAGAGGCATTCCCTTG